CACACACACACACACACACACACACACACACACACACACACACACACACTGTTACAGAGACATGTTGTGCGCAGTGATGACACACACAGAGTCTCTTTAGGATTTATTATAGGATTTATTTTGTGAAATAGGAGAGTTTGTAGAGCAGAGAGTGGGAGAGGATCCCACACACTGTATAAATAGAGACACACACACACGCAACCTGACAACCTGTGTGTTGCAGCGTTGGAGAGCATCATGAGTCAGAGGAGGAGAGAAACTTGTTTTATGTCCAAAATTGTTTTGGTGCTGTTTAGGTCAAATCAACCCGGTTACAGAAATAAAAGTCCCTCACACATATTCTCAATTCCCAACAGTGAAGGTAACATGTATGATTAATGTTTGCAAATATTCTCTGCTGAATCACGTTTGAATAGGCCCTATTCTGCTTTTTGGGGTTTCCCTCTAAAGTAAAAATGTTTACTATATGCCAAGGTGCAATGGAAACAGATAAGTTGCAGACCTCCGAGAGTGAGTGAGGCAGGGTCCTGCAGGATCAGAGCGTATATTTATCTTCTCAGGGGTCCGACGTGTAATCCAAATACCCCAGGCCCCAACCTTCTGTACACACACAGAGAGGCCCCGGCTCTTTGTTACATGGAAACTTTAAACCCCATGAACAATAACGGTATATCAATGGTGGAGGATATTTAAACCATAAAGCTCATCCTGCAGAACAGAGGGGCCGTTCACTCTTTGGAAACTGATCTGAGGGGTCTATAGAGCCCTTTAAACTTAAAAACAAAAGGTTTATCATCTATACTGCTGATGCTCAGGTGTATATCAGTATGTAGTGTCTCTACTTTAAAGAGTCCTCTCCTGCTGATGTTCAGGTGTATATCAGTATGTAGTGTCTCTACTTTAAAGAGTCCTCTCCTGCTGATGTTCAGGTGTATATCAGTATGTAGTGTCTCTACTTTAAAGAGTCCTCTCCTGCTGATGTTCAGGTGTATATCAGTATGTAGTGTCTCTACTTTAAAGAGTCCTCTCCTGCTGATGTTCAGGTGTATATCAGTATGTAGTGTCCCTAATTTAAAAGAGTCCTCTCCTACATAAATATACTGTATATAAGGCCATACCCCAAGACTGTATAGATATGGTCGAACATGTAACCAGTCAGATGCATTGTGGGATTTCAGACACAAAGCATTCCTCCCCCCCCAACACTGAATAAAGGAGTCTTTGTTGTAGTATTTCTGTGAAGGTGAGTTATTACTGTAACTGGTCCTCTCTATTTGTCCTGTAATCTAAATGGAAATGCAGCACAGCCCCCCCCCACAGACTAATAAATGTAATGTCTGTTAAAGAGTGTGTGTGTGGGGGTGTTCACGTACCCTGAAGTGCCCCATGTTTCCGTCGTCGAGCTCCAGGATGTAACCCTCCACGGCGATGGTGGAGAGCGGCGGTTGTTTCCATGACAACGTGGCACTGTTGTTCTGCGTGCAGCACTCCTCCAGCTGCAGCATGGGGGCCGCCGGGACTGATGGGAAATAATAAAACATCATATTACTGCACCGGGAGGAATAAAAATCATATAAAAAGGACCATTTTGAGATGGCCTACCAGAGGTTGCATCTTGTAAGCCATGCATCACCTTCAGAGAGAATTTAATGGTGTGTTTTACTGCAAATGTTAAAAAAATGTACTAGTTAACTACTTTATTTGTGCACTGATATATAAATAGTCTGGCTTTTAAAGTTAATATATTATTTTAAAACAATTTTCCATTTTAATTATCAAATGTTATGCTTTTGTTATTTAAATTTTAATTATGTCATTGCAATTTTTTACATTTTATTTTGTTGGTTTGACAAAGCATATTTTAAGGGTTTAAATTAAATTAAATATTTAATCATGTTAGATAATAAAAAAAATGTATAATAATAATTTAAAAAATGAATACATTTAAAATTCAATAGAAAAGAACAGAAACAAATGTTTGAAAAATAATAATAATAATAAATCAAATCAGAAATTGAAAAATTATAAAAAAATGTGAAAAGAAAAAAATAAATAATAAAAAACACATGTAAAAGACACAGCTGCAAAAAACAGTTGTCATCACAGGTAATATAACACCCCCACTCAGACAGACATACACCCCCCCCCCACAACCGAATGTATTTACCTGTTTCTGTCTGAACCCCCCTCCTCTCACCTTTCATCTGCACAAAGTCCAGCTGGTGGATGGTCTGCAGGAGGGGGCTGCTGTCCAGAGTCAGGTCGAAGTCGCTGTTCATGCGGGGGGTGAGGGTTCCCTTCCCCCACTGCCCCTCCGTCATGTGCACCCTCCGGATCAGAGCGTCCGAGATCTGAACAGAACAACAAATCAATTCATTCACATCAATACAAACACCCTGTAGAATAGAATAGAATATAAATGGAGGGATGAAACCCTCTTCTTACATTTTGAACCCAAATACCTGTACTTTCTACTTCTTACATGTTGAACACAAATACCTGTACTTTCTACTTCTTACATGTTGAACACAAATACCTGTACTTTCTACTTCTTACTGAACACAAATACCTGTACTTTCTACTTCTTACATGTTGAACACAAATACCTGTACTTTCTACTTCTCATATTTCCCAAACAGGCTGGTTCCTTTAGTTTGAATGTGTGTTTGGTGGCGTGATCATTATTATTTAGAGTCATTGCGTGCCTATTGATTTGAACACGATCCGTGTATCCATCATTTCCTGGTCTTCTCTAAAGAAGAGGGACCAATGAAAACGTTGTCATGTTGCCGTTGTTCAGCATGGAAACATTCATTAGCTAACAATGACATTATTGTTCTATTAATATAAAGGGAGGTCAGGTACTCTTTAAAACAGCTGCTAGTTATGGGTACTTTTTACTTAAGTATATTTCAAAGCCCATACTTCTTTACTTTTAATTGAGTAAAGCAGTTTAGTCAGTACTTCTACTTTCACCAGAGTATTTTTAAACACGAGTATCTGTACTTCTACTTGAGTAAAGGATTTGTGTACGTTTGCCATCTCTGCACATGCAGGGCACACAGCACACACAGTGAAATGTGTTCTCTGCTTTTTACCCATCCTAGTATTAGGAGCAGTGGGAGTGGGGGTTGTCCGGTGCCTTGCTCAAGGGCACCTCTCCGGTGTAACCCTGGCAGTTTGTGTGTGTTACCTGCAGGAATCCACTGGGGTCGTTCTCCTTGATGACCTCCAGGCAGTACTCCATCAGGCCGGTGGTCTGACGCAGCTTCACCGTGCAGTGGGAGATCTGATCCCGTACCACCTGCAGGAAACACACAAATAACCACGGATGGTGTTAGGAAAGGATTAGGAAAATACACGAGGGAATCACGTTCTGCTTGTAGAAAACAACAACAAGCACACAGAAGATAATCACATGGTAATCACTCTTTCCTTTAATCACTCCGGTGTGCAACATGGGTCAAATGCACAAAGGAGAGGATACATAGGGCAGAAGATGAGTGGGAAAACTGGAGATGCCTTCATTAAATAAATGATTTTCCATGCTTGGACTTTTCATGGTTGGGAGTTTGCAAATTTGGATTTTCCCTTTTTTTTAATGTATTGTTTGTAATTATGATTTAATATAGTATGTATGTAAATGTTGGTTAGACAACAAATCTAAATCATGATCTGAATGTCTTATTTATCCCAGGGTAAATGGGGTTTCCATGACAGCTTTAAAATAAAATTAAAAAATTAAAAGTGCGATAATAACTTTATGAATAATAATAAATACAAAAAGGAATGAAAAAAATGCAATTATTACTTTAATAATAATAATAAAAATATATAATAATAATAATATAAATTAAAACAACAAATAAAATAAAAAAATAAAAAGTGCGATATTAACTTTATGAATAATAATAAATACAACAAATAATAATAAGTATAACAAGAAATGAAAAAAATGCAATTATTACTTTAATAATAATAATAATAATCATAATACAAATTAAAATAAATACAACAACAAATGATAATACAAAAATAAATAATAGATCAAATTAATTGTGAAGCTGTCACGTTGGGCTCTGGGTATTGGTAAAAAAAAAAAATATATATATATATAATTAATATATAAGTACAATTTATTAAATGTAATCAAACCAGCTAAATTAATTCTAATACAAATTGGACAAAATACGCACAAGGTTGCAGAACTATTGATGAATGAGGCAGAAAAGCAGAGAGAAGAGTAAAATATGAGTGAATAAAAGATGGAGGGTGCAGAGTAAGAGATGAAAGAGGCTGTTGAAGCATGAAGAGAGAAGGAGACCTGCAGGAACACCAACATTGAGATCAGCAGCCGGAGAGTCAGAGAGATGTACTCTTCCTCTCGTGCTCAGACTGAGGAGGAAGAGGAGGAAGAGGAGGCTGATCTGTTACTGACGTGGCCGGAGGGAAAGTGACATTTTGTTTTTCACACGAGTGGTGAAGCTGTGAGCATCACCACGTACATCAGAGAGGCTTCTGTGCAGCAGCAGCAAAAAAGAAACATGAACATAGTTTTGAATTCTCCTCAGAAAAAAAAAACCCATTAATAAATCAGTTTTTATTTCACCCCTCTCAATATACATCATCTACACTCCTAAGTGTGCAATACAAATTAATTATTAATATCTTTGAATAAATACTAATGCCCAATGGATATGTTATAATATACACATTTTTACATATGTATTTGTATTACATTTTGTGGTAAAATACATTAAAGAAATTGTGTATATTTGTATTTAATGTTTACATATTGACTTTATTGTTATTATTTAATTTATTGTCAAATAAAGAAACTGTCCAAAAAACTATTTTCCTCGAGCTAAATAATAATATATTTGTTATTATTTACACATTTTATTTACATATTATAAGTACAACATGTGCATTTTTACAAATTTAATTTCATATGGTTTTGAAATATTTGTATTTGAGTTTATTTGTATTATTTTATTTGTATTTAACTGTGTGGTTTTTAATTTAATTTATATTTAATTATATTAAATGTTATTGTTAATACATTTTAATTTTGAGTTATTTGTATTTAATTTAAAGTGGACCTATTATGCTATATTGGAAAAATATATTGTAGGGCCATACCTACAAAACATGTGTGTGAAGTTTAAAATACCAAACAGATCCCCCATTGTAGCCATGCCTCATACTGCTCAAACCCCTCTTTTGCAGCCCTGTTAGAGAAACGCGGATTTTGGGTCCTTAGCTTGAAAAAAAAGAGGAGGCGGAGCTAATGCCTGATCAGAATTCTACCGGAGATAAAGTTAAATTCTGCTGTGATAAAACGCCATCCTGTTCTAAACCACATCAAGGATTATTTCTGAAACAGTATGGAGCTCAAATGCTTTTTCTCNGCGGATACAGATTCCATCCGAACTGACGTCAAATCGGCAGCGGACCCACAGAGAGTTGCTATCAGAAACAATGCCTGACGTGCTTTGGACGTAATCTCGTCTTTGTTTACATTAGCAAGCCTCGCTAACACTCAGAGCTAACCTGTACTGGAGAGAGCATGTGTTTTAAAAAGCAGGAAATAAAAANTTGAGCTCCATACTGTTTCAGAAATAATCCTTGATGTGGTTTAGAACAGGATGGCGTTTTATCACAGCAGAATTTAACTTTATCTCCGGTAGAATTCTGTCAGAATTCTACCGGAGATAAAGTTAAATTCTGCTGTGATAAAACGCCATCCTGTTCTAAACCACATCAAGGATTATTTCTGAAACAGTATGGAGCTCAAATGCTTTTTCTCTTGCGGGTTTATCACAAGGTGAGTTCCTTTTTTTATTTCCTGCTTTTTAAAACACATGTGCTCTGCAGTACAGGTTAGCTCTGAGTGTTAGCGAGGCTCGCTAATGTAAACAAAGACGAGATTACGTCCAAAACGTCAGGCATTGTTTCTGAGAGCAACTTACTGTGGGTACACTATCCGATTTGACGTCATATCGGCAGCAAATCTGTATCAGCCCGTTGTACCCCCGGTTTTAAAAGATTTGGGTACGGAGGAAAAGAGAAAGGGTTTTATTTTCTGTTGCTGCGTGAGTTCCCTGACACATCGGGGACACACATTTATGTATAAAAGACATCAAAAAGTGCATTTTGCATGATAGGTCCCCTTTAATGTTATTCATTTTACGTTATCTTATAAATCCCAATTTCCCCTTGGGGCAAATACAGTATTCTGATATCATAAATGTTACATTCTTTTTTATTTGATGTGTTTCATTTAATCCTGCTTTTTACTGCACTTTTCCATTTCTTTATTCCTATGTATATCTTAATTATACTGGCTGTGACACTGTCTTTGAATCTGCTTGCAGTGGAGCAGTCAGAAGGACAATAAAAGACTTGAATCTTGAATCCTAAACCCTCCTTTCTGAGCAAGCATCAACGTTTTTTCCTAGATTTCTTTTGTGTTGCATCTTTGACAGATTTGGGAGATCCTCGGCACTCCTGATGTCCGCAGAGCTCCGTCGCCTCGGAGAGAGATTATAAAGCGGGGGTGCTGGAGCTGGACTGAGGGTTGCTAGGAAACAGAAACTTCACTGTTGCTATCGGAGAGGAGAATCCTGTCTGCAGACGGACAGGAAACAGGAAGGAGATTTACTGACGGCTGCAGGCAGCAGAGTGAAATACTGCGCCACAGAACCGTTAGCCATGGAGGGCGTCGTTAGGCAGAGCGCTATCTGAATTTATCATCAAACCCATTTATACATGTTTATATATTTTTTTCTACTTAAATGTATCTTTCATTCGAGTATGATTTAAAACTTTTTAGCCATATTTGTTTTACTTATTATTTAAATGGAAGCACATTAATATGCATGTGATTTATTTGAATTACGTAATTGTTTTTGTACGACAACATATCAATCAAAAAAATCGAATGAAAATAGAGACATATTAGGTTGAACAATGTATCACTATGTCTAAATACAATTGTAGGAGATGTGCAGTTGTGGTGGCATTGCGCAGAAAGATGAAACGATTGTCATTAACCCCCATCGGCACTAAGACGATGTGACCTGAAATGAACCACATAATGTGATGCTGTGATCAATCAGCTGCAGGCGGCTCCTCTCTGTTTAACAATCACTGTGTCCTCTCCACGCAGCTGAAATCACAATCTCCGAATTCATCGAGGATGATTCCTGTGCCCACAACTTTATCTCGTCCTCCTCCCTTTTCCCTTTCCTCTCGAACGCCCGCTGCATCCTGAGCAGCTGCTCTCTGCAGCTCCTGAAACCTGCTTTAACCCGTAAGAACCCGGACCCATTTCTACTTTGGGGAAATTAAGGGGAACATCATTTAGACTAAATAGACATTACATTACATTACATGTTACACGCTTTTATCCAAAGCAACTTACATACTCAATACTGTGGGCAATCCCCACAGGAGCAATTTGGGGTGAAGTGTCTCAGGGACACAACAACATGCTGACAACGCACTACTCCACTGCGCCACAGCCTCCCACCTAGAACACATTTATGCCACTTCCTTCAGACTTCCTTCCAGAGCCCCTCCTCCAACACACACGAACGTGCACATGACCAAAGAGGGCACGAGATAAGTTTGGGCAGTGGGCACAGATGGAAGGCTGACAGGCAGGTAGGCCATCCAGTTATTTTAGCCGGGCCGGCTCAGATGATTGGTCGCGCCACAGCTTCCACAGATGAAATGTTTGTATGTATTTATTGTCAAAGCATTTAATGTATTCATTGCTATCGGGATGTTGAGAGGATTCCATGGAATATAACAAAAAGTTTTTCTGAAATAAATTACATACCCCACCTTTAATGAGGATGATTTTTTGGTTTAAATTTGTTTGAACATTCTTTGAATTGAAGAATAAAGAATATACTAACTAAATATAATTGAATCAGCTAAATTAACTGAGCAGATCATAATCATATTTCTAATTGTGCATATATGTCACTTTGGGTTTACTGTGGAAGTTTAGGGTTAAAGTCCCGATCAGTGTCACAGCGATATTTGTCTCATTTGTTTCATTTCAATTTGATCAATAAATGTTTCCACAACAGGTTAAATGTAATAAAGGACATGTTATGTAAGCATTTTAATTCTTTAATGGCTTGAATTTGACCTTTAGCAACAAAACAAAAGCTTTGAAATGTGTTAGCCTGGCACATGGACATCTTGGACATGTTGTTATGGGAACACAAAGTCACATGACCTGGACCATGACTCACCAGACTGTTCAGACTGTTCAGGGTGTGTCACTTAGGGACTTCATGA